CTTCTGCTCTTGAAAGTCTTCTGTCAAGTCGATTACTCTAAAAACTTTACAAAGGAAAATTCTAATACATAATTTCTAAAGGGGTACTCTAAAGTCCTAATTAATCTAGCATCATCAAAATCTAAATACAATTATTCCTTACAGTTATGATGCACCTAGGTTCCCGACCCATTGCATTCAAAAAACAACGAAACAACCAAACATATGATTCAACATCTTCTTTCAACAACAACCCAACACCAAAAGTAATGCACTTCTTATGATTATCAATGCCAGTGAAAGGGGCAAAAACCATGTTATACCTGCATTGAGAAATAAATAAAAAATGCAATCACGAATATAACATTGTGCATTACGAATAACATGAAATGCATATCATATGTAAAGATTCGAAATTATAGCATTCATAAATTTATAAAAACTATGAAGTTAAAAAAACGAATAATTATTTATTTACACAATACCTGTTTGTCTCGTATGTAGCATCAAACGAAACAACATCCCCAAATAATGCATAATTCTTTATGCACACCGGATCCGCCCAAAATATTCGTGTCAACTGGTCACTCTCATCAACATCATAGTCAAATGAAAAGGCGGAAGAAATCTCTTTCTTTTTAAAAAGCTTATCTATCAACATTTGTGCATCCACACCAACTAAATAAGCCTTCAAATCACGTTTAAAATTCTTAAAATCCACGGATGTAGCACCAATATTAGCATAACTCCCGACAGTTTCCTTATACAAACGATAGCATTTCATTGTGCCAATATTTGCTTTGGCACAATTCAAAAATTTTTTTTGATGTCCAATGTCTAGTTTTCTATTGACTTTTAGAAATGGCTGCGACGAATCAGAAAACATACAATGGTTATGCCTCTCCTCAAAGAATGTAATTACATATCGATTCATGCCTGTAAGCCTAAAAACTGCACGTGCTCTGCAACCACACCTATTAGAAACCCTTCGTCTTTTTTTCTCCTCATCTTTAACACACACACCGGGAGTTGGTAAATATTCAACATCATGCTGCTCATCAGTTTCACATCCATCAGATTCGCTTGAATCATTTTCAATAGTGAAATCTTCATTGTCACTAATCAATTGATTAGCTAAATCGTCATTGATGCATGAATCAGTTTTAGGTGCAACTGTGGTAGATTTAGATACATTTTTGAATCCCTGTCTATTACACACCATATATTTCCAAACAATAACGCCATCACGAGCCTTCTGTTGGCTGCTTTTACGTGATTCGAAACCACAAACTGATGCATATTGATCATAAAAAAGCATACCATCACGTAAGTTATTGAATAACATACCAACACACGGTTTCAAATCAGGGTCGCAATCAGGTGTCCAGTACATGGTGGATCCGGGAGAAAGTTGCACTGTATTAACATCTAACGGTTCAGAAATCGATGTAGAGGCACTAAAGGGAACAACACTTGAACCTGATGACACCATACAAACGAATAATTCAAAAAAATGACTTTAGGGCATAGAGTACAGCAAAAGTGCAATATGGAAACCCAAATATGAGCAACATAATACACTTTAAAGTGCACAATCAAGATAATAATAAATTTTAATATCAAAATACACCCAATATTTTTTATTAATATACAACAGGTAAGTTACAAACGCATTACATAGATATAGAACAGGTAAGTTACAAACGCATTACATACAACATCTACAAGAAACAAAGAATCATTCGTTTAACTTCTATACATAAAATTAAACTGGTAAACGTGTGGATTGGCATGCACATGAATCAGACGTATTTTGAATTCGTGTTGATTATGAATATACATAAAATAATTAAACGAATATACAAGAATCAATCGTATTGTAAGAGAACATAACATATGTACGTAACGATCAACACTAACCGAACTCCATGAAGAACTTTAGAATGGAGAATCCAGAAGATGACGAAATAACTCAGTTCGTAGAAGGAAAGCTACGTTCATGAAGCAAAAAGATTGTTCGCAGAGAAGGAGAGAAGCAGGATGCAGGGGAACCGGTTAGGAATGAATTGCGGAGAAGCAGTTAAGGAAAGAATAACGCACGAGATCTTAGGAAACGGTAATTTCGAACTTGACCTTAATACCCTCTGCGGAAATGAATTAATAGATGAAAAAATAAGGTAATCCAAGGGCTGTAATCTATTCTTTTTTCTCTCCTAAGATCTTATTCTCACATGAACCTAAATCTTATTCTCACATGAACCTAAATCTCATGTGAGAAGTCCCCCTTAGGCTGAGAAGCTGCGAAGTCTAACTTATAAGCTAAAAACACGAACTTTTAACCAATAAATCATAACTTATAGACCCCCTACAAAAAAATTACGAAAATGCCACCGCGTCAAAATAACTCCAGAAACCTAGAATTGTTTTTTGATTTTCGTGATTATTTTTTAGGGGATCTATAAGTTATGATTTATTGGTTAAAAGTTCGTGTTTTTTGCTTATAAGTTAGACTTCACAGCTTCTCAGCCTAAGGGCACTTCTCACCTGATCCGCTATATATATATATATATATATATATATATATATATATATATATATATATATATATATATATATATATATATATATATATATATATATATATATATATATAGACTAATAATTTTTTTTGAGGTGGGGCCTAGGCCCTCCCTGGCCCTATGCCAGAGCCGCCCCTGATCTCATTTCATCTGATAATGTCAACTTTGTCAACCCCCCATCATGATGGACTAATCTAACAGCATCGCTGCACTTGCTACTAAATTGTGAGATAACTAAATGAGAGTTCTTTAAATAAAAATAACAAAGTAATTCAAGCGTCCCGGTTTTACCAGCTACCAGAAAGAAAGAATAGATTTGTCCATCTACCTCCAAAGGAAGCATCCCGATTTTACCAGCCATCAAAAAGGAAGAAGAGGTTTGACTCACCAACTCCAAAGGAATCATCTCGTTTTGTGAGACCTGTCAGTATTTTAGGCGGTGCTGTTCTTGCCTTTTTTGATCTCTTACCATCAACCTCCTTTATTGACAATCTTTCATAAGTTTGATTTAAGCTCTCCTTTAATGGCTAACATAATCAACGCCGAATCTGAGACGGTGAAAAAGAAGCAGAAGAATTCACGAACAAAAGCACAAACACGTTCACGATTGGAACGACCCAAACCTGAAAGGAAACTCAGCCGGACGAAATAAAAATGAGTAGAAAATCAGTCGGAAAAGAAATCTCAAGCAATGAAACAACCTGAAAGGAAAATCACCAAAATTACCCAAATATGGGCCACTCACTTTCGCTGTTGAGATGGAAAATGGAGACAAATAGACGTTCCTCGCACTCTCCTAGGTAGATTAGATCTCCGCCGCATCTCTATGGTTCTTCCATCATCTTCGCCGTCCTCTAGGGCTTTGGAAGTCGCCGCACGATGTCTCCTCCCTTGGTAGAGTGTTACTCCCAAATTAGGTTATTAAATCTTAAGTTATATTTTTATTTAAGTTAGTATGCAATTTGAATTTAAGGAGTACATAACTAAATGAAATTTTATCAATGATAAAAAGTATACATATATACAGGATCACGATACAATATTCAGGGGCATTTGAATCTACTTTTAAAAACCTCTACTTCTGCTCCTTCAAGGAATAGAAATATATATTGGAGTGATTGAGTGAAAGTGTTGGGTGTTCCAAATTGCTTTTAGGAGGAATTTTTTAGATGTTGAGAGATCAACTTTTGAAAAACTGATTCTTGTTTTGCTTATGTTTTTAAAAAAGAAACAAAAGCAGAATGAATTCCAAACATTTGTCGAAGTATATTACAACTTTATGGTAATTATGCTCAAATCGTTATAAATTTACCCCAATCTCAATGCAAGATCATGTTGATTCTTATTATTAAATATGTACGTAGTATATGCTATTCTAACTTAAGTATTTAAAGTTCAAGTTTTAAATACTCCGTATAACACTTTCATACGCAAAGTATTCATATTGTTGCACATATTTTTTTTGGTTTTGATTTATATATATATATATATATATATATATATATATAGGGAAGAGTTCAAATGAAAAGTGATCTTCCCGTGCAAAGTGCAAAGTTTTCACTTTTTCATGTTTCGCTTGCACTTTTTGTTGTTCGCATTGCACTTTTTGGCTATTTTGATTTTGGCCAAATTCGGCCAAAATGACGGTGACAGTTTTGTAAATAAACCGATTTTTTTGAGCTATCGCGAAAAAGTGCAACGAAAGCAAGAAAAAGTGCAAGCGAAACATGAAAAAGTGTAAACTTTTCACTTTGCACGTTAAGACCTCTTTTTATTTGAACCATCCCATATATATATATATATATATATATATATATATATATATATATATATATATATATATATATATATATATATATATATATATATATATATATATTGGATCTAAAAATAGCCGAATTTGGAATTAAACATGCCACATCCGGATCATTTTAAAAAAGTTGATATTGTCATTTGTTTATATCTAACTTTTTCGATTGTAAAATTAATCTACAGTCCCCCTTCGTGTAGATGACATTGTACACGTTAGTCACATTGTCTCTGTGCAACAATTTGACCGACGTTTTATGAAAAAAATTGATTTCCATACAAGCAAGCACAAAAAGTGATCTGTATCACACAATTTTTCAAGGATAATTTTTCATAAATTGAGTGTGATACAGACACTTTTAAACGAGAATTTTAAACGAAAATTTTAAAATGTCAGTGATATAGACAAATTTTTTGTTGTCCGTATCAAAATCAATTTTCTTCATAAATGGATGATTTGACTAGCGTGTACAGAGCCACATAAATGGATGATTTACCCTCCGTGTACAAAAAACATTTTTCTTTAAGGTACCATAGAAGTTACCTTTTCTTTATTCCATGGTTAGTGTGGATAAGGTATACTCCCTCCGTTCCTATTAAAACTTCCAACTTTCCTTTTTCATTCGTTCCCATTAAAACTTCCAATTTCCCTTTTTAGTAAAGAATTTATGGTTCACAACATTTCTTACACATTTCTCTCTACTCTCCACAACTCTCCACCACATAATACTAACTTGAAGTACCAATCTAATGTATTGTCATTACAACAAGACCTGAGAATTCTTCAATTAAAGACAGATTCAACGATCGAAATCATAATTTCAAATAGCGTGATTCATGAATCATGATCGAAATTACACCTTAGGATCGGATCATCGGAAGTTTGTAGTCTTCTCTGCCACTTCATAATTAAGCATTAAAAGAAAGTATATACATCAATGAACTAATTCAGAAGGACGGACTTTATTGGCCACCGATGATGAGAACTAGCAGGGTGGTTTACAAACTTGCAATTCGGACATGTCGGGGTAGCCTTACAAACCATCACCAACATGTGACACTTGTCGCACACCGCCGTCACCATCTCCTCTTGATCTCCGTCGTCGAACATCAACCACGATGGAGACCGGGATAGACTTAAAAACCCTTCACTTCTCTTCTTACTGCCGGCACCTTCATCGGAACTGGTCAACCGATCGTTGGTAAACTTATTATTACAAGTAGGGTTTTTGGGAGTAACTTTGGTCTCCGTGAAATTGTCGCCGACGTGGTGTTGTTCCTCGGATGACCCTCCTCCGCATAATAGGTTTAGTTCCAGGTCCAAGCTTGCTGGAGCCGGTGACTCTTCCGGCGGACTACTTATCCGTGGATCCGTTGTTGTCTTCTCCTTGGTTCTTGTGTTGTAGAAGTATACCTGCCCGGACTGCAATAATAAGGACAATAATAAAATGTGGTTCACTATATTTCACTTAATTATACTAAAATATCAACCACAACTTTTACTTTTTTAATTACTTTTAAAAATTGTGCCAAAACCAAAAAATACACATAAAATGGGACGGAGGTAGTACGACCTCCGTAGCTACGTCCCCTAAAATAGAGACAAAAAAGTGATACGATTTTTTAGAAAAAATAAGATTATTTAATTGATCATCAATTGATAAATTGTGAATAAAATAATAATGAATTAAAAGAAAATAAATACTACAACTTCCCACCCTTTTTATTTAGCCAACTTTGACTTTTCGAGTCAAATATGATAAACTTTGATTCATTATTTTAACTAATATATTTACGTGAAACTTAATAAATTTATACTATTATGATAACATTTTTAGCAATGAACATTTTCATATCATTCTCATATTATCAATATTATCATCTATAAATATATAATTAGTCAAAGTTTAACATGCCTGACTTGAAAATAGTGTTTGGCTAAACAAAAAGGGACAAAGAGAGTACAAAATATGGCATGACACAAATTTAGTGGGACAAACGAAAAATGAAAAAATAAGACAATTATAGTGGAACAAAGAGAGTAATAAAACTCATTAAACCTGAAATAATGTCTTTTAATGGAAAAATAATTGTATTCAAAGAGTTTTCAAAAAGTTTTTGAAACAAGAATATACAATTTCCCATAAATCTAAAACTAGTCGCATAACATCACTGTTATTATCAATAATCGCATTATATGACATATTATATAACCATCACAATTAATTCTCAAATTGCAATCAATTTAAATTATCACAATTAATTATTGCATAAATAATATAATCGTGTCATTTTGCATCGAAAACCATTACGAACGCATTACTACGTATTATTGATAATATTTTTATGCATACCTTAATGTCGAGACATCTCTGCCATTCCAAGGGAAGGGGAGCCAAGAGGGGAAGTTCAATTCCAAGAAGAGAATTGATGATTCGGGTTTGTGACCTTTCGGATACTTCTTCTGCTAACCTTTTCCTCTTTTTTGGTAAACTCATTTCGAAGAAGTCTGGGTTCTGGAGATTTTTGGATCGTCTTCCCAACAACTGATGAGGTGATAAAGATGAGTGAAATGAAACCATGGTGGACAGGACTTTAAATGAAAATAATGATAATATAAAAAGAGGCTGGTTTGAATGAATATATATAGCAATAAGCTAAGGGCGGAGTACTGGAGATTGAAGGGAGTGATGATCAGAAAATGGAAAGGTTGGCGGTAGATGGAATTGAAGACTGCCAAAGTGGATCGATCGATCTAGTATGCGGAATTTAAAAGGCCAAATCTTAGTAATTTCATATGGGGTGGGGTGGGGTAGGGTGGGGTAGGGGTGGTGTGGGTGGGTGTAATTAATGGGATGGGGTGAGGAGTAAAAACGGGGGTTAAATTGGTTTTCATTTTTCTCAATATAATAAATCATGTTAAACGTGCATTTTTTATTAGGCATCTTTGATTATTCAATGAATAATGATAACTTTAGAAATTGCAAACAAAAAAATGATAACACAAAAAAATGATAACTTTAGAACATCTTGAATGGGAGGGGGATTGCAGTGATGTGGGATAAGAGAGATAAAGATAGAATGAATATTTGAATGAAGTGGTGTGTAGGGGAAAATGAAAAAGATGAGAGATAATGATAAATAGTAGACCTAGGTCTATGACAAGGTCCATAAGCATGAGATTCGAAGAGGAAAATTGATGAAAAGTGGGTTAAAAGTGATACTGCATATAAAAAATGAATGAAAATAAATTAGAAAATGTGTGGGTCCTACACATAAAAATTATGAGATAAAAAATGGGACTCATGCGTAAGGGTGTGTAAGACAGCACACCCTTCCACTGGAGATGCTCTTAGCGGATCATTCCAACAACGACGTAGTACTCCTTTCGTCCCGCTAACAATGTGATAAGAGGGAGTAACACGCAAATTAATAAAAAGTGGTTTATGTGGTTGATATTGAATTGATAGAGTAAGAATAAAGTAAGAAGGATTTAGAGTCACACAAACTTTACCAAATTTGGTATGAGACAATCTTAGTGGGACGGACCGATAAGGTAAAATGGGACTATCTAAAACGTATAAAGAAAGTTCATATCACTTGATATTGAATTGATGCTCATACGTAAGGAAGTATATTGTATGAAAACGTATAAATTTTATACTTTTAAAATACTCCCTCTGTTCCTAAATATTCTTCCCGGTTTGACTTGGCACGCTTATTAAGAAAGTGGAATAAAGTGAAAATGTATGGTTGTGGTTGTGTAAGAAAAAGGTAAAATGAATGTGAGCCACACAAATTGTCCAAAATGGGAAAGTGGAAAGTATTTATGGGAACAGCCCAAAATGGAAAGTGGGAAGTATTTTTGGGAACGGAGGGAGTAACACTTTTAACAAAGAAAAGTTCACATCAATTGATATTGAATTGATGCACTAAGAATAAACTAAAACAGTTTAGAAGCAAACAAATTTTATCAAATATTCAAATTTGAAATGTGACAATTTTAATGGACCGATCAAAATGAAAGATGAGAAGGGTACTACTACTTATATATTTTTTTTTTTAAAAAAAATACCTTAGAAGTAACTTAATTATGTCTGTAAATTAATTAAATTTTGACAGCCATTGTTAACCAATATACTTCGGGCATGTCCCACAAATTAAATATCCAGATGGCGTGCTCTTCAAGTGAATTCTTCAAGTAGCAATAACTACTCGTCTCCAACCTGCTCTTTAATTCGTATTAAAGCAATCTTACTTAATGCTCCTAACAACCGACTCCTCTTCTTCGTCAAATTTCCCACTGTTCCATCAAACCTACCTTCATGCATGCATATCTATTTGCGCCTCTCTCTCTACTTCCTTCATTCTTATTTCTCTCAATTTAATTAATTAATATTCCCTCGGTTCTCAAACAACTTCCCACTTCTTTTTTGAGAAGTCCCGAAATTAACTTCACACTTCTTCTTATTTCCTTATTTGGTAAATTATCTACACCAAAACAGTGCAAAACAGTGTCAAAGAGTGTCAAACAGTGTTCAAACAGTGCCAAACAGTGCACTCCACAGTAAAGTCAAATTTATTTTCTTAATCTATGTGAAGTCAAATTGTGAACCTCTTTGAGAATCGGAGGGAGTAAATTAGTTGACTGCACTTCCATTTATCTTTTAAAATATCTCTTTTGATGTTTTTTTTGAACAAGGCGGCTTTAAATTGATATCAAAGCATTCAGCAAGAGAACAAGAAAATAAAAGGACCACTTCCAACCATCGACCCTCGAACCAGACTTAGAGCCAATCACCCAAAATAAAACAATATGACTCACTAATCCTGTAATGGGTCTAAATGAGCCTAATGTGGTTAGAGTAAACATCTCACCACCCCAACCTAATGCAAGAGTCTGACAAAAATAAACGTATATCACCAACAAAACAACATAAAAATCAAAGTAAGAACACAACCAAGCTAAATGAAAAGTAGAATTAGTCTTCCAAATCCTAGTCGCACAATTCCTCCATGGCGGCGGTTCGGGAGGGGGGGGGGGGGCTCAACACCTCTTCGTCTTCTTACACTCTTATGAAACCGCCGCCACCGACAAAGCACTGGAATGTTACCGGGCTTCGTAGACCTCTGCAAATCCAGCTGAGGACGCTCATCTTTTTCTGTTCTTCAGTCAACGGGGACGCCGCAGGGACTAGTCGAGTCAGGTGGCCGGAGCCACCGCCGGAAAAACTCCTAGGAAGATCCTAGAGACGATCACAGTTTCTTTGTTGCTAATTTAGTTCTCGAAAACCCTGCCTTCCTTCAGCGCATCCTCTCTCGTAAGGCGCTGGTCTCCTCACAATTCTTCCCATTGGTGCGATGCCTCAATCGATCGATCTTGGTCAAGGATCGACGCCGCTGATTGCTAGGGTTCGCTGTGCCTCTTGACTAAACAAAACAATCTATTAAAAAGTGCTACTTGTAACTTTTTGAATTGCCTAAGATTTTTTTAATGAAAACTTATGAATGTACTCTGTCTTTTGATGTTTGTACGTACACACATTTTTTTCTATATTAAAAACAAATTTGTACAATACGGCTGACTTTTCATTTTGAATTTCTACAGTTTTTACATCTCAATGTTGAATGTTCACATATTGTATATATATTGAATTGATATGGTCATGTTCTTTATCCATCACGATATTCTTCGTCTTGGTAATAAGTTTTTTGATGGATAACAAATCTCGAAATCTAGTGTGATAACACAAATCATGTGGTTAAACTATTAGATAGATCGATTAAATTGTCTGGAACTCGATCCACATCGGGAGAATTTTCTAAACAGGGCAAAATGAAATTTTAATTGACAAAATAGGACCGTCACTTAAAAATCCCTAAATAGGACTAACCTTACAATTCCATCCTTGCTTGATTTTCATACAATTCATATTTCATTAAGAATTAAAATATCAAAGTAGTAACATAACTTTATTTATAATAAAAATGTAAAAAAATAAAAACACGAAATAAATACTATCCTATGTTCTTTAATTCTTGCAACAGTTTGACTTTCTTGTTTACCAACTCATAACTTTGATTGTAATTATATTTAATTATGTATTAGTAAACATTATAAAAATTTGATATTTTGGAAATTCACATTGATAGGAATTAAATAACATTTTATACGTAATAATTTGATTATGTACATTATAAGAAAATCGTGGTCAAAGTAACGTCTGCAAATAGTGCAAAAATCACAATGTTGCAAGAGTTAAAGAACGGAGGGAGTATTAAATAAATCAATAAAAATAATAAAAAAACCGGAAAATATAAAATTATAAAAAACGCTTAAAAATTAAAGAAATTAAAAAAATATTAAAAATATAATAAAAAAGATGTAGTTCTATGTTGCCGCCTCAGCGACCTCCTAGCACCCCCAACTCCGATCATCGGAAAAAAATGCCAACATGTGTCAGAAATGTCATCTTGATGATTGTTTTCGAGAAAATTTTGGCTCTTTTAAAGAGTTAAAATGTCTGTTTCAATTGCTTACGTTGTATCGAGAAGGTAAATGCAGATCGTCTGCTTGAATTGCTTACGTTGTAGCTCATTGTTAGTAGGGGTGGGCATAAAACCCGAACCGAACCGGTACCGAACTGTCCCGTAATGGTACCGAACCGAATACCGGGTATTTAAACGGTTCTATAGAATTTTATCCAGTACTGAAACCGTACCGTTTGAAACGGGTACGGGACCGGTCCTAGATTTTGAGAACCGAAAAATACCGGTCCGAACCGTTCTTAAATAATGCATTTGAATTTTTTTATATTTTTTCTATATCAATAGATCTAGACCAACAATTTTATACCCCAAGTATGTATTCATGTGTCCCTAAGATATCTAAAATGTGTTTAGATATATATATGATAGAGTATATATCTAGAGAGAAGTGAGAGCTAGAGAGAGAAGTAGTATAATTGCATTGTATTGATGAATTTGTGAACCCCTACAACTACTCCCAGAGGTAGTATTTATAGGGAAAATACGGGCTGGGCTCCCAAGCCTTGGGCTCGGGAGGCCCATTTACAACTGGACCGCTATTGGACCGAATACAATGTGTGTAGAAATGATTAAGTGTAAAATCTAGTTCTAGGGGCTGCTCGTGGCCGATGAGGGCATGGCCGACGAGGGCACGACCGACGAGGACCCGGCCGACGAGGTCACCCGGTTTTCCTGGCTCCTGAACCGTATTCTGAGTGGACTGCTTCCTGGCCGATGGAGGTCACCTGGCCGACGAGGGTCCCACCAGGTGATCGTGGTACCTTCTGTTCTTCCGAGTATGTGGGCCATGAGGTCCAGGCCCGTATACTCCATCAGGAGTCCCCCACTCTCTAAGCTGAGACGTAGACGAGGCGAGGGAGAGTAGATTTCTCGCTTCTGACGTTTTCTAGCCGTTGTGGGACCCTTTCTTGTTCTTAGCCGTTACGGGCACCTTTTGACCCGGTTCCTTGTTTTATGGCCGTCGTGGGCACTTGGTGTCTTGGCCGCTGTGTGGCTTTCGCTGTAGACGAAGAGGGACCCAGTCGTGGCGTGCATTTTCTATTTAAGGGCGTTGAGCGTCTCTGCTTGGTGGGGACGATGATCGCCCTTTCTCATGAATAGACGATGAAGGTCGTTGTGACACTCCAAAATTTATGACGTTTTAGTCAGATAAAAATATTTCAGTAATAGGAACAACATTTTATGAAACAAGTGAACG